CAAACTTTGCTCGAACGACATACTCGTTGCTTACCTATTGTTGCCCCTTCACTCGAGCGACAGTATTATTCGACCAACCTTAATTCGTGATTTTGGAAAGTTTTACATGCTTCATAATACCTAAACATCCCTAACTATAAATACCCAAACCTTACACAATTTTCTGGTGTGGTTGTTCATTGTGCCTCTACTTCATATCATATCCATAACATCCTTTGGTGATCCACGACCATGCTCATATATTGATTCAACCCTTTGATTCTTGAGATCCTACAACCATATCTTTGAGGAAAACATCAAATCCTTGAATCTAAAACACGTGACTTCCTTAACACTTTAAAGAAGGTACTCTCTCAATTAAGCATTGGGAGAGGTAGATTTCAAGCATAGGAAAAGCACAGGATTTGGTGAGTTTTGAAATTCCATTTGGAAGAGATAATTGTACAAGATCGGGAAGCTAGAGTAGACAACAGTATCTTGAAGATTACAGGGAGTAAATCGGGAAGTCTAGTGGAATTGGCTAGGCAGCATCTAACTGTAACATTCATTTTCTATAGTAGATATAACTGGCTTGGTCCCGTAATTTTTACCCAGTTTGATTTCTCCGTCAATAATATTGGTGTTATTTATTACTTTTTTATTACAAATTGTGGTATTTAAACATCGGACATTGGACTTTTATGCTTAATCATTTAGAAACTATTAAAAAGTGACTTGTTACTTTTAATAAGTTAATTTTGCATGTAAAGTCAAAGTAATCAATAATCTAGAACACAGAATTTTATAATCAAGAGTGTTTCGGTAATTCACAAGTGTTATCAGAGTGTTCTAGAGCGAACTTTCACTTTCAAACATGACCATAGAAACATTCATTTCTCATATCTTATCAAAATTAATTTCATGTTGTTTTATATTGGCCTAAGCATTTTGTCCCTTGACATTCATTTACTTTTAACAATCCTTGGATCGATACCCTGCCTTGTTGCAATTATAGTAGTTAGCTTCAAACTTTTTAGGAGACTTTGAAGAACGAATTTGCCCTTTTCCATTGTGCTTTCTCTTGTTGTTAGCATCGGAACCTCCTTCACTATGTTGACCTTTGATTCTATCACATGAAAAGCGTCACTCTACTTTTCAGATTTACTATTACCTTCTTCATTTGCAATTGGGCAAAAATATCTTCAAGTTTCATTTTCTTGCGCTTATAGGTAATTCTTGAAAAACCTTCCACGATGGTGCCGATTTTTGATAAGTGCGCCAACTTGGAATGATCCACTGAGAGACATTCCTTGAACATAGATATCACTATGAATCACTCGAAATTCTTGAGCTTTGGATATGAAAGTCTTGTTGTCAACCATTTAATAATTTCCACAGTTCCTTTTGCAAATTTTGCATTCCAGTACACTTTCAAAAAGAACATAATTTCTGCATAAAAATTTGAATATTTCAATGAATCTACTCCAATCAAAATAATTTCTGCATAAAAAAATCGAATATATCCATAAATCTACACCACAACCAATTTTTGCATGTCACTTTCATCTTTTCCATATGAAAAGGCACCCTCTTTGAGAAACTTTGTCAAAATTAATGTTGTCACATTATAAAATATTTTCTGTGGCCAACATTTAAAATCTGATCCATTAAATTTCTCAAGTTTTAACAGGTCGAACTAGGGAGTGGATTATTAAAGTTGTCATTTTTTATGCAAAAATCAGAAATAAACAAACAAGGAGTGCAAACAAAATAACGTTTTAAGATTGTTGTTTTTGGATTATGAGTTTGTTTTTCAAATAATTTGAAGACACTTGCTACTTTAAATTATACAAACAGGAACGACATGATTATCCAAGCCAACCGACTTCATGTTGTGCTCTTACGGAGAATCTTTTCCCCTTAAATGGTGCTTTAAGTAGTAGGCAATCGTCTTTCAAGATAGAACATATTTCATCTCTTAATGAGGCATCACAACTATCCATAAGATTTTCGACGAACTCTACTTATTATTTTTGTACTCAAAATATAGAAGCAGAATATAGAGAGAATGGAAATTCAAAGCAGGAATTATTATTAGAGATGAATGGAAAAAATATCTAAAGTTTATTGATCATCAATCAATTGAAGAAAATGGACATACAAAGATATATAAAGAGCACTTAAACTTGGTGCCAAAAATATGCCAGCTGGATAACAAACTAACTACCTGAAACCAGCTCAGCAACTAACATAGCTAACCAACCGAAATTCTACTATACTGTCCAGTACATTCACATACAATTCCTACATTCAATTCTAATACTCCCCGTCAAGATGTACTGTAAATATTCTTTACACACATCTTGGACATTAAGCAGGAAAGAACATTCGCAGGAAGTGGCTTTGTAAATGCAATAGCAAGTTGATGTTTTGAATGGATAGGAAGCAATTTAATGATGCCAGCAGCAATCTTATCACGAATGAAGTGGCAATTGATTTTGATGTGCTTCGTTCGTTCATGAAAAATGGGATTAGATGCAATTTGAATAGCGGCTTGGTTGTCACAAAACAAAACCGCTTGAATGGCAGTACTAATTCGAAAATCATTCAGTAATTGAATAATCCAGGCTACTTCACTTAAGGTAGCAGCAAGAGCTCTATATTCTGCCTCAGTTGACAAACGAGCCATAGTAGATTGTCGTTTTGCTTTCCAAGATATTAAGGAATTCCCAAGAAATATGCAAAATCCAGTTGTGGATTTTCTGGTGACAAGACATGATCCCCAATCCGCATCGGAGAAGGCTCGAAGTTTGAGAATGGAATTTGGATCAGCCATTGTAGAAAGGAACAAACCCTGGCCAGGACCACCCTTCAAATATCAAAGAAGGTGGTGTGCAGCCTTGAGATGAGGTATTCTTGGCTGTGACAAGTATTGGCTTAATTTGTGGACAGCAAATTATTGTTTCTTATCCAGGAATTTATCAATTCCAAGTTCTTGCCTTCTGGACAGCAAATTATTGTTTCTTATCCAGGAATTTATCAATTCCAAGTTCTTGCCTTCTGGCGTTTTGATAGATCCATCAATGAATCCAACTTTATTCTTCACAGACAATGCAATAATCATTGCTCGACTCCAAGAGGCATAGTTTTCTCCTGTTAGCTGCTATGATACGAGCATCAAGCCTGGGCTATCGGAATGATGAAGTAAGGACTTGAAGGTTCATCAACCACAGATCAGCTCACATTCGAAACCACTTTGAGGTTCCCTCTGAAATGAAACATGGAAGGGAGCCACTACGAAGAAGTTCCAGGAGTTACGAAGGAAGCTTCGAGCTCATATTGGTCGTGGGTTGAGAACAGGAATTGAACTCTATGAGATCTAATCTCCCGTTGTTCCTCAATAGCTTAGTGATAGAGCGGCCGGCTGTTAACCGATTGGTTGTAGGTTCGAATCCTACTTGGGGAGATTTGATTCATTTTGAATTAACGAATTCAGAATAAAGGGACTCGCTTTGACCGTTAAGAGTAGGTAACCTGTTCACATCAGAATTATTACCAGATTCCATTTGTGAATTGAGCAGATTGTTTGATCTATAAATAAATAAAAAAATTGATAGGAAATGTAGTTAGATTATGGATGTATGCTCTGATACCATATTAAACATGAATGGAAGAAATATCTGAAGTTTATTGATCATCAATCAATTGAAGAAAATGGACGTACAAAGATATATAAATAGCACTTAAAGTTGGCACCAAAAATATGCCAGCTGGATAACAACCTAATTACCTGAAAATCAGCTCAGCAACTAACATAGCTAACCAATCGAAATTCTACTATACTGTCCAGTACATTCACATACAGTTCCCACATTCAATTCTAATAATTATTGCATTTGAATTGGTGTAATTCATATGGCAGAAACACAGGCTCTTTATAGAGTGTTCATGGACATCCTGTTATAGTTGGTAGTAGATGCCTCTCATATTTGGTCACAGACGTCGGTTACACCCAAATTTCATTTTTTTTTTTATTTGCAAAAATAGCCAAGGATTCGAATATTAGACGGTAAAAAATAATTTCATCCGGTTCCGGTACCTAAAGAATTTGATTAATTACGTGGGATAAATGTTACCAAATCAATTAAATTCTTCACTACTTCAAATGGGTAATTTTGAATCCAAATATTTTATTCAATATTAAATAATTTTTTTTAGATAAATATATCACGTTATTCATCTCACGGAGTAAAACGTGAATATGATTTGTCCTATTAATTTCGAAGTTGGATTCCCACTAAATTTTAAGTTCAACTTTTTCCAAAAACAAAACCATTCCAACAAAGAACACAGAGTAATGCTAAAACAATAATTACCAACCAAAATAATCACTATTTTCAACGATATTTACCATGGAACCCATAACTATTATTAGATTTTCAATAATATGTTTTATTTACTTTTATCAAAATCGACTAAAAATATGATTTTTAGTTAAACCAAACGAAGAAGAAATTTCCGTTGTTGTTACTAATTTTTCGTCAATGTGACCACTTTTTCTTCTAGTGACGTTTCTAATGAAGGTTGTACATAACTTATTTAGTTGTAGATATGCAGAGTGGCACATAACATGAATAAAATGACAGTTCGCACGGAAGTATTCGATAGCTTTGCCAATGTGTATGACTAAGTCATGCCTGTCGGGTAATTTGTTTTGGAATGAAGGAGGAGAGTGTATGGGAAAGTTCTAATTATGAGTAAAAAATTGCAAAAGAAAGAAGTTTTTTCTTTTTTGAAGCCGGCTGCAAGAATAAAACATAGAAAAAAGATAAAGAAATGTTTTCTTGCAAGATAAATCGTGTGTTAGAGTGAAGACAAATGCCTAATCTTCTGTCAACTGAATTCCCTCTCTCTTTATTCTTTACCCTAGCTTATCTCCATCCCCACCTCGCACGGCACCCAAGAGTCTTATAATTTTACATTCAAAAACACTCTAGTAATTTTCAACCTGGGATTTCAAGATGGTACCCGGAAAACACAACAATTCTCAAAAGTCAAGTGAAGAAAATTGTAATCAATCCAAGAGAGTTTGTGAAGAAAGCCCTTCTGTTAGCAGATCGTATGATTGCACTTTCTGCAAGCGGGGTTTCACCAATGCGCAGGCACTAGGAGGGCATATGAATATACACAGGAAAGATAGAGCCAAGAACAAGAAGAAAAATCTTGACCAATCTTCAATGAATTCTGCAGGGTATTTTCCTGCAGTTTCATCAGAGGATCCGCGGCAAAAAACTATATATTATACTGGTATGGGGGCAGAAGTGAGATTTCAAGTCTATTTGCCGTCGTCAAACCCTTACACCACAAATGAAATTAATCATTTGGCATCATCGAACCCTAATGATTTGTCTTCTGTTTGGAGGCCACAGCGTTTTACTTTGCACGATGATCATTTGGATGCGAATCTGAGTCTGAGGATTGGCCCCGCCGTTGTTGAAGATGGACAAGGAAGGAACGAAAATGAAGTGGATTTGGAGCTTCGATTGGGTCATGACCCGTAGTCAACTAGGTACGGGATGAAGTAATCATAAATGACATTCTTCATTTTTCTTTCTTATTTCAAGATACGCAGTCCTTTAGTATAGCCAGAAGGGTCAACTAATTTTGTGACTCCATTGGCCTGCATAATTTCAGACGTATAGACATTATACCAAAAATTGCATATTATAATCCCATAGAGCATCTATGTTTTTTTGCATCATAAAATATACTTATGATAATGTATTCATGTAACATAAATGAATTAATGTTAATTAAGAGTCACACTCCTAAGAGGGTATACAGGCTTCGTACTCAATGAAAGAGTTAAAATTGAATTTTTTCTAGTAAAGTCAAAGCTAATAGAATCTAAAGGTAAGATAACTAATGCCATATCTATAGGGACTCAAACCGGAGCTGTTGAATACACAGAAATGGTTCCATTTCCAATTTTTTCTTTGAAATTATCTAAAAATTATCATCATCTAGCGTTTGGCATTAATAGAAAATTCATATCGACAAAATTTATGGCGTTGCATAAGCTAATATAGTAATGATCACTAAGCTGATTTATTGATGCCAATCAATTTAATTTTCTTTTTCTTTTTCTTTTCGATTGATGATTTTTGTTTGGGGATTTTTCTATGTTGAATTAGGTGCATTGCAGCAAGCCGAATGGTGAGTGTTTCTATATCTGTAGGTCTACTGCATATTGACTTTCACTCCCTGATTTGATTAGTGATCAAGAAGTTATAACTTATATAACATTTTAGACTTGACGAAGAGTCTGTTCTATATAGTCGAAACTAGCAAACATTAACTTTGGATTTCACATCAGCATAGTGAACCTATAGTCTTGAATAGGGATGGAGATTTGAAGAATTTGGCAGGGTTTTTCTGTTAGGAAGTGGAAATTTTGAGGTAAATCTAAATATATGACGCAAATCATCAGAACTTCTGTTGATGAAACTAAAACATAGTACATCAAATCCAAGAAAGCGTAACCTTAGATTCTGCTAACAATAAGCTTCTTTTTTTAAGGCAAACCACTTCGAGGATGGAAATTTTATTAGTGTAAAAACCTAAAGTACAACTGTGGAGGGAGTTTAGACGTGATCTCCAGCAACTAGCTAGACGAATACCGCAAAACAGGTTTAAAGGGCCAATGCACAATGATGAAAATTCAGTAGAGACCCAAAGACTATAAGCCTCGAGTCCTACCCTGGTGATCATACAGTGGCACTGTCTCACTTTTTTTCGTGCAACAGATTGATGTCAAGCTAATAGAGCATAATATAAGCATGTCATCCACTGCAGGCAATAATACACATAGTAGGCTCAATATTTAGTCTTATAGTGGTAAGTTAATTACAGGAGATACAGATACTGAAATTTATAATTCTTCCTTAACTTGTTAGTCAATTTTATATATTTGATTGGATTATATATTTTGTCTGGTTTTACATGAGATTGTATCGAGAGACCTACTTCAACACTATTAGAAATATGATTTTCTTGTTTATGGAAGAGATAAAATCTATGGACAAAGACTGCTCCTACTAGGATTATTTATTGGCTCCATATGCCTTAAAAGTAGGAGATATTAATGTTTTGTAGTACGGCAGTTACTCTAGATGAAATGTTATCATGAATAGGTGTTTCTTATTGTCTGCTTATTTGGGAGAAACTAAAAACCAAATATTTTAGAATAAAGCCATATTATTAGATAGATTATTATGGGTTAAATCCATATCACTTAAATATGAGAAAATATTGAACATAGAAGGTGTTTGGATAAATTCTGCAAGCGTCCGAGAACATTATAATAAATGTGATTAGAAGAGTAATTGTTTCACAAGTAATAAATTCTAATTCAAATGTACTACTTTTCTATCAAATTTGGATTATTGTAGCATAAAAGAGATTTATTGAAATTAATATAAATTGTTTTAAGATGTATGTAAAAGCGTTGAATTGTAAACTTATATGAAATGATTGTATTGAATTTAGAATCCATTTATTATTATTTATTTTAATTCTCGACTATGTAATTTAGTGTTATTCTTGCAATCATGACAATTAATAATCCTATTGTTTTTTACTTACTTTTTCAAGATAAATTAGTTCTATTCTAATCATGATCCGATTCTAATTCTAGTCCGAATGTAAAACAATGCATTCAATCATATGTTTATCAATAAGATTGCAAATGCCATATACGTTATTCCTAACATCTATTATCCATGTGTTCATCATATAGTATTCTACTTATTGTAAATCACCCAACACTGTAAAAAGTAATTAATATAAGTCCGTTGAAATTTAGATTAAAATTGCTTCCCATTTGAGTTTCAAAAGAGTTTGTATTACAGAAGAAAAGTTGCCTTCATGTTTGGTCGGAAAAGTACTAAGCACGCATGGTATTAACCATTGTGTCCATGGAACAATTAATTCATCCTCCACTCAGCCAAAATTATGCCTTGCATGAACCATGCATGCACACATTTATGTCTCTGAGCTACCGTTAGTATATCCGATTGAGATGATTAGAAGTTCATTCGAATGTCAATTCAAAGGGATATAATTATTATAGAATTATCATTTTCCCAGTTCGAACAATTACTATACAAAAAATAGTTCTTAATCTATGACTGAGAAGTTAGAGTAATGGTG